TCTGGTTCTATTTTATCCAGTAATCCTAAATAAGCATTTTTATTTTTTGGTCCTATGTTGTATGTTTCTAGGAGAGAATTTTCAGTTTATCCAACTGACTACACATACAGAAACAGAAATCTAGGCAAGATATTGAACCTTTCTAAAACCATTTTCTCATTTGTAAAATGAGGTAGAGGATTATTGAGTGAACTAAAAAGAAAAAAATATATATGGTACACTGAGGGAACACAAGAAATGGTAACTATGAAACTACTCTAAATTATTCTAATTAGCAAATCTTACATATTATAATCAGCTATTGACATAAACAAATCCAACCTGATAGAGTAAGTTTTTATTTTGCTTTGGCTTAAAAAACATTGACTATTCATTAGTTTCCAAAGCAATTGTGGACCATTGCTCATAACCCATACCAATAATGAAATATGCTATTAAAATTATCCAACTCAATTAATTACAGTACATTTTTAAAGGCCCAATTTGCCTGCTTACTTTGTGGTTTTGAATAAAATTAGATTATTTGGGGAAAACCCCCAAGTTGGTAATTCAGCAGGTATTTTCTTTTACGTTCCAATTAACTGACTGATCTATGTTCAGGCACTCAGAGGGGCAATAGCTATTTAATTTGCTTGGAAAATACCCATTCTAATACCATGTATACATGAGTACCTATTAGGTAAGGAGGATTTTCTAAACATGACACTTTAGTAGAGTAATGAACCCAACCAAGAAGGTTTTTAGTCTGATACTTAAATGCTGTTTGACCTGGGGCAAATCACTTGGTGACCATGAGCCTGTTTGTTTCCTCATCTAATGAAATCTGCCTTTCCTACTTTAAGGAATCTTATGAAGAGCAATGAAGCAAGGCAACCACTGGTACAGGTGGCTTTGCATGCTGTAATGTACTATAATTCCATACAGTACTGTTAAAAGGATAACACTATCCCAGTCTGTTTGTGGGCACTATTTTCATATACAGAAATAGAGAGACGTCAATTTCTCCTTGTCTTCTGGCCCTATGGATTACTATCACTACTTTCAAGCAGAGTCCTGTGTGAGACAGACAGCTACATTTAGGCTTCGTTCTACCCAAGCCAGCTGAAATAGCTTACTGTGCTTCAGGATATTATGTGGTCTATTTGGTCATCTGTGAACCCCCAGAATGCAGCAAAGGGTAAGTCCACAAGGGTGCAGGAAAAGCTTAGAGGGAAAAAATATATGGCTGTAGTATTTGCATTGTGTTTTTCCGTATGAATGAGTAATAGTGCTACACAAAGAACCCCTACAAAGAAAGAGCTGAGGTAACTGCCTCATGACATTAGTAAATGATTTCAGCACATAAAGGGAACTGGATGGCAGTAATTCAAGCAGTCTAAAAGACTCTGAAAAAGGCTACAGGCACTGAAAGAACCACAGATTGCGACCAATTTAGAGAATTTAAAATTTCCAATCCACAAGGCAGAAATTAGTGTACACATCAATAAAAAAAATTTAGGTTGATTGACAGTTTATTACTTGAGAGTGATTTGTGAACAAAAGACAAATTATTTCCCATGCCAGCTATTACCATATTTTCCAGTCTGTATGATACTATAAAGAAAGCCAAGATTTATGACTTATTTTACTTCCTAAATGCTCTTTACTAACAATTGCTCCAAAAGAGCAGCTCTAAATATTCATCAATTCAGTAATTCAAACAGTGGTGTTGAGTGCCTCCCAAAGAAGTTGACAGGCTAGCACACTCTAGAAGTTATCCCAGAAAGTGTAGGTGGGCACAGGACGGCATGCACAGAGTGAGGACCATGACCCAAAATGTGCTTTGTGACATGTGATGTGACATCTCTGGAAGTGTACAAAGGAAAGCGCAACAAAATACTGTGAAATGTTAGACTAATTTTTCTTTGCAAGATTGGCAAACTTTTCTAGGTCACTTTGATAGCAGGCCAGAAGCTAAATTTTTGTGGTTTTTTTTGAGTTGGAGTCTCATTCTGTCACCCAGACTGGAGAGCAGCAGCCGCTCCTGGTCACTGCAGCCTCGACCTGCTGGGCTTCAGCGATCCTTCCGCCTCAGCCTTCCAAGTAGCTGGAACTACCCCACCTGGCTAATTTTTTGATTTATTGTAGAGATGAGGTCTCACCAAGTTACCCAGGCGGGTCTCGAATCCGTGGGCTCAGGCAATCCACTCACCTCAGCCTCCCAAAGCACGGGATTACAGGCTGAACCACCAAGCCCAGCTGATTTTTCTTTTTTTTTTGAGTTGGAGTCTCACTCTGTCGCCCAGCCTGGAGTGCAGTGACACGCTAACGGCTACCGCAGCCTCGACCAGCTGGGCTCAGATAATTCTTCCACCTCAGTCTTCCAAGTAGCTAGAACTACACAGGTGTGCACCACCACACCCAGCTAATTTTTTAATTTATTGTAGAGATAAGGTCTCACCAAGTTTCCCAGGCTGGTCTCGAATCTGTGGGCTCAGGCAGTCCTCTCACCTTGGCCTCCCAAAGTGCTGGGATTATAGCCATGAGCCACCTGCCTGGCCCAGAAGTTCATTTTTTAAAAAACAGCCTAGAACAAGCAATAATTAATGTCAATTCTCTTCTTCCTCCCCATCCCCTGAATGCAGTCTAGGCATCTTCTAAATTTCAGTGTTTTGAGGGTTACTAGAGTAGATATGCAAGATAAAATCTATCTGACATTCCTGAGTTAGGCTGTAACAGGGTTCTAGAAGACACTGATGTGGGATTCAACTACAATAGAAACAGGAAACAGTCACATTTCTTAACTGGTAGCTCTTAGAAGCTTGGAGAGAATGAAATCTGAATCCTAACATGAGAACAGCAAACTCCACCCCCTAAAATGAAAGGTGCTAATGGGAGCCTCAGAATCTAGTTCTTCCCACATTCTCTCACTAGAGTAATGTATCTATCCTAGGCATGTGCGTAATTGTTGAATGAGAGCATCAAGTTCCATCCCATGTGGGGGCTGGGTGAGAAATCACGACACAGGGTGCGCTCAATGTTTCCCCTTGTTGGGAGAGAATTCCTCTTCTATTTGACAACACAGATGTCTCCAACAGCACATGAAGGCTTCTCAGTTACTACTCAGACAGACATCCTCAGAACAGGAGATAAATGGGTAGGGAACCTTCTTATTATGCTGCTCTGCTGAATACAAGTCTTAGGAGACAGGACCATATCTTTGTAACCATCAAATTATTAAAATATGTAAGGTGATCAAGAACATCAGGCTACAACTTCAAGACTGCAGACAGAGTAGAACCATAGTGTTTAGAAAAACAGAGGCCTACAGTGAATTCCAAAGGACTATAGTCTCATTCAGCAGTGAACAGCTGTGATTAGATTCTAGATGGCAAATTCCCCTGGGCAGTGACTTTTGTAAAAGGGGATGGAAAAGGTTTCCACTCCTTCTGAGCACTCAAGGTCCTTTGCTGCACTCTCACATTTAACCCAGAGCCATGAGAGCAGCCTATGTACTCTGAAAGTGCATCGCTTGGATCCAGCTCCAGAGAGGATTGTTTCTAAGAACTAATGCTCCCTACCCTTTGCCACTTACTGCCACTGAACCCTCAGCAACACTGCAGTGCAATCTGCCAACAAGGAATAGCTACTCAACTGAGAGCCCCCTTTGTCCATGAGGACCCAGCTCATGCTACGCTGATGTGGAAGGGAAATCATCCAAGATTTTGAATGAGTAGGTCTGAAGTATGCACCATTATCGACACAGAACGTCTTATTGTGATGGTCTGCTAGAGGTGTCCTGTGCGACATTTTGAGAAACACTTGAAGCCACAGAGCTATTTCTCTTTCAAACATATTGACACCACAGATGTGAAGAAAAAAAGCACACACAGTTAATGAGCCCACGGCATCCCCAAATGCTCTGAAAAGTTAGCCAAAACCTAGGAGAAAACTATGAAAATGAATCTGGATCAGTGAACAGGATCAGTATGAGTGGCTCAACAACTTGACAGCTGTGAATAAAAGTCAGCCACAACAAGGCAACCTTCCTAGGAATCTCCCCAAAGACATGTAAGTAGTGTAGACCAAAACTGTTTGGGGAATTTTTTTCCCAAAGATTTCATTACCAGAAACCTGACAGTAGGGAGACACACTATATTGAGGCTCTGAAATAGATTTACTATGTTTAGTCTCAGAGGCCTATATCAAGATCTCATCTGGGATTTGATCTAAAAAAAAAAATTTTTTTTCCCCCAGCTTCCACTAGAGGAAGTATAAAAAAAAATTTTTTTTAAGGTTTTGAAAACTTTGGGAAAGATTCTGAACAGATAAGACAACCTAAGGTTGTTTCCAGTTATTCCTCAACTGGTGAAGTTATAAATCTTAAATTTTCTTTAGGGGGAGTAAGTCTGATAAATGGGCATGGGATAAAGACACCTACTTCCCACAGATCTCATGACCTCAATGTAAATAGTGACTTCCTAAAAATATATGAACAAAATATATTAAGACACACACACAAGCACATTTATATATGTTTTCAGATCTATTACAACTTTGCACAATTGCTCTTGTAATCTTTAATGACACACAAAATTTTGTCCTGATTATTCCTATGTTTGCAGCAGAGATGAAGCATCTGGTTTTGAAGTATAAATGAGCTAAATATATGACTGTAAGCCATATTTTGGGGAACAATGAAATCAACTATTTACCATAGCAGGATTTTTGCCTAAGCTTTGGTCTGTATTTACTTATGAAAATATGAGTTTGGGGGTTACAGCAAGGAAATGCTGGAAATTCAGAAGATCTTTTAAAAATAATAGTTATACTCTCCAGGCTTCTTTTTGTATGTTGGTGATGAGGTGACGATCAAAAGTTGCCACCTTTAGAGTGGTCTCTTACATACCTCTGACAATGAGGAGCAAGTTCTGGCCCTTACCTCAGAAAAAAAAGAGCAGGACTTACTTTGGGAACATCAAGGTAGTAACTGTCAGAGAGAAACTTTCTGCTAAACCTACCAGGAGGTGTACAGGCATCTGCAGGAGACTGGACAAATGTAGACCGTCTTTTGGTTGGCATGGGCAAAGCCATCTTCTGTTCTTTATGCTTTGCCAGTGCAGCTTGAACTGCTTCTGTGTGGATATCTGAAAGATTAAACATTTGCATTTATTAGGTTCCAGCTCTTAAAGTGCTTACCATCGTGGACTAAACTATCACTGCCTCAATTGTTGAAAAAGATCAAGGGGATGTTTGGGTGATTTTTATTCAACACTTAATTTAGACCAACTAAGAATAAAAAAAAAAAAAAGGCCAGACTTTCTGGTTCAGTCTGTAATCCCAGCACTTTGGGAGGCCAAGGCGAGTGGACTGCCTGAGCCCATGAGTTCGAGACCAGTCTGGGCAGCTTGGTGAGACCTCACTGCTACAGTAAATCAAAAATTAGCTGGTGTGGTAGTGTGCGCCTGTAGTTCCGACTACTAGGAAGGCTGAGGTAGAAGGATCGCCAGAGCTCAGCAGGTGGACGCTGGGGTGGCCGTGAGCGTGCCACTGCACTCCAGCCTGGGCAACAGAGTGAGACTCTGACTCAAAAATAAAAATAATAATAATAAAAAATAAATAAACAGAAGAATAATTTACAGGGGAGGAAAATGAAGCCCTGAAAGATTATGTGACTGCTTAACAGACCAGACAAGGCACTGACAGAGATGTGGGGTGGGGGTGGGGAGAGAATCTCGAGTCTACCATGCATCTATGCCTGGCAGGGAATCCTGCCTCTATTTGGAATGAGTGCTGTGCAGGTGCCTAGAGAACACTCATTATTTTTCAAGAAAAGAAGCTTAGGCTTTGTTTAACTGTCTCAAAGAAAACTTGGTTGAGATCCCTCAGTTCTATGTCACAGGATCAGAAGGATTGACTCTGATCTAGAAAAACATAAGGGCAGATGTTACTTGTTTATCATTCTGGTCACAAAAGAATTCATCTCTCTACCTGAATGCCTAATAGGAATCTTAAAATTAACATATCCAAACAGAACTCTTCTTTGTCCACCCACATCCCCAAACTCACTCTACATTTCTACAAAAAAGGATCATTCTGTACAGAATTCAGTATTTCATATTCTGCTTTTTAATAAGTCTTACCAAATCCTACAGAGGTAAGGTAACAACAGGGGTCGCTTCCTAGTTCACAAAAAACAATTTCCTAAAAACAATTTCCTCTTATCTGGGAGTGGACACACTCCACATACAAACCATCCTTCCATTCCTCTCTACAATGTGAAAGTAAATATACCCTTTAAAAGAGATAGACCAATCAGATCATTTGTGGGGGAAATTTAAACCGTGAATGGAGAAACTGTACATCTGAGGGCTGACTTACTTTAACGACAGATTCCTAGAAAGAAGGAAGGTCTCTGAACATTAAAAGTGAGATCCCCAAAGTTAACTCTCCCTTACTAAGCGTTTCTCATTGCTTCTCTTCCTCCTATGACCTAACACAGCTGTTTAAGGTAGCCTACAATGGCGCTGTTTCTTGAAACCAAGAAACTTTCACTAATACAACTAGAAACAGCTTATTGTATAAATATAGATCTATAATATGATTTTCAAGGGTTGCATAGTATTTTACTGCATGACTGTGCTATGATTTATTTACATATCCTCTTATTATCAGATATTACCTTGTTTACAAATTTTTGCTACCATTCACAGAAAGATTTTTTTTTTTTTTTTTTTGAGTTGGAGTCTCACTGTCGCCCAGACTGGAGTGCAGTGGCTGCTCCCGGCCACCGCAGCCTCGACCTGCTGGGCTCTGGCAATCCTTCTGCCTTAGCCTTCCAAGTAGCTGGAACTACAGGCACGTGCTACCACGCCCAGCTAATATTTTTGATTTATTGTAGAGATGAGGTCTCGCCTGCCCAGGCGGGTCTTGAACCCGCAGGCTCAGGCCAATCCACTCACCGCAGCCTCCCAAAGGCGCGGGATTACAGGCTGAGCCACCAAGCCCGGTTCACAGCAAGATTAACTCAGTATTTTCATTTTAGCACATGTCCACTTATTTCTTTAGGATTTTTTTTTTTTTTTTGAGTTGGAGTCTCATCCTGTCACTCTCAGGCTAGAGTGCAGTGGCACACTGACGGCCACCACAGCCTCGAACTGCTGGGTCAGGTGATCCTTCTGCCTCAGTCTTCCAAGTAGCTGGAATCATAGGTGTGCGCCACCATGGCTGGCTAAATTTTTGATTTGTTGTAGAGACAATGTCTCAAAAGTTGTCCAGGCTGGTCTTGAACCCCTGGATTCAGGCAATCCTCCCACCTCCGCCTCCCAAAGTGCTGGGATTACAGGCATGAGCTGTGCCCGGCATTTCCTTAGGATTAATTCCAACAATTGCTGAGATCAGAGTATATGCACTTCTTTTCCAGAAATACTTCAATATGTATTTCCTAAGAACAAGGATTTTCTCTTACATAATCTCAATATATTTATCAAAATCCAAAAATTCAACATTGATACAAGCTATTACGTAACCCACAATCCACATTCTAACTTAGCCAGTTGCCCCGAAAATGTCTTCAGGGTTTTTAGGGTTTTTTTGCCCCTTCTTCTCTCCTGATCCAGGATCTAATACAAGATGTCACACATGTTTAGTTGTCATGCCTCTTATTCTCCTATAACCTGGAGCAGTTTTGCAGCCTTGTTTTGTCTTTTATTATCTTGGCATTTTTGTATAGACTAGTTATTTTGTAAGATGCCCTTTAATTTTGGATTATTTGATATTTCCTCATAATTAGTTTCAGGTTATGCATTTTGGCAGGAATAACACACAAGTAGTGTGCCATTCTCAAAACCTGATGACAAGATGCATCTGCTCCATTACTGGTGACATAATTTGATTACAAAGTTGGTTATTTTGGTTAAGATAGCATCCCCTAAGATATGCACTATCAAGTTACTATTCTTTTTGTGATTAATTAGTAACTTATGAAGGGATACTTATGAGACTATGTAAATGTTATCTACTTGAAACTTTCACTCACTAGTTTTAGAATCCACTGATGATTCTTGGCTGAATTAATTATTATTATATAGTTACAATATGGTGATTTTATAGTTCCAATATTTCTTTTATAAGTTGATATTTATAAGAAAAAGCTTTCCTTCCTCCCCTAGTTATTTATATCAATATGGAATCACTGCTTCTCATTTTAATCCATGACTACTGTTTTATTTTATTTTTTGAGTCGAAGTCTCACTCTGTCACCTGGGCTGGAGTGCAGTGGCACACTCACGGCTACTACAGCCTTGATCTGCTGGGCTCAGGTGATCCTTTTACCTCAGCCTTTCCAGTAGAAGGGACTACAGGCCTGTACCACCAAGTTCGGAAAATTTTTAAAAATTTATTGTAGGCCAGGCTTGGTGGCTCAGCTGTAATCCCAGAGCTTTGGGAGGCTGAGGCAAGTGGATTGCCTGAGCCTGCAGGTTCAAGACCAGCCTGGAAAACTTGGTGAGACCTCGTATCTACAATAAATAAAAAAATAAGAAATAAAAATTTATTGTGGAGACGAGGTCTCGCCAAGTTGCCCAGGCTGAGTCCTTTTAACATAGTCCCACCATTATGTCCTTTTAACATAGTCCCACCATTTTGAGCAGTTGTTTCTTGGCATAAGGTGCTCCTCTGGTGCTTTCCCTGCTCTAGTCCTGGAATTATATAATGACCCAGAATTTATGTATAAAAAATTGTGTAAACTAGGCATGGTGGCTCATGCCTGAAATCCCAGCACTTTGGGAGGTCAAGGTGAGAGGATTGGCTGAGTCCATAGGTTCAAGACCAGCCTGTGCAAGCAAGACCCTGTCACTACAATAAATCAAAAAATTAGCCGGGTGTGATAGCATGTGCCTGTAGTTCCAGTTACTTGGAAGGCTGAGGCAGAAGGATCGCCTGAGCCCAGCAGGTCGAGGCTGAGGTGACAGAAAGCGTGCCACTGCACTCCAGCATGGGTTACAGAGTGAGACTCCGACTCAAAAAAAAAAAAAAAAAAGTATTTTGGCATACTGTATTACTATCAGCAATGCACAGGTGTATCTGCTTCCCCACAGCCTCAACTTCAGAGTTTTTTTAACTGTTGCCAACTGGGTAGTTGTGAATTGGTATCCCAGTATAGTTTTAATTTGCATTTCTCTTATTTTTTCTTTTTTTGGAGACAGGGTCTGGTCTCACTCTGTCATCCAGGCTGGAATACAGTGATGCAATCATAGGACACTGTAGCCTTGAACTCCTTGAACTGTAGCAGGTCTCTTGCCTTAACCTTCCGAGTAACTGGCACTATAGGCATACACCACCATGCCAGGCCAATTTTTAATTTTTTTTTAAATTTTTTTTTTTAGAGACAGGGTCTTACTATAGTGGTCTCAAATTCTGGCCCCAAGAGATGCTTTTGCCTTGGCCTCCCAAAGTTCTGTGAGTACAGGTGTGAGCACGATGCCTGGTCTGCATTTCTTTAATCATTACAGAAATTAAACATCTTTACAAGGGACTTAAGGGCTATTTTATATTGTTTGTTTGTTTTTAAGTGAGGTGAACAAATGTTCACGTCACTTGACCATTTTTCCTTCAGGCCTCTGTGTTTATTTTCCTTAATGTTTAAGTGTTCCTCATAAATTAGGGATATTAACCCTTTATCTCTGAAATATGTTAGAAATATTTTCTTTCAGTTTATCATTTGTCTTTTGACATTGTGGGTTTTTTTTTCCCCCTTAATCATGCAAAAGCTTCTTTAAAAAAATAGCTACGGACGAAAGATTTCAAATCAACAGACTACATCTCAAAGAACTAAAAGAAGAACAAATTAAACCCCAAGTTAGCCGAAGGAAAGAAAAAAAGATTAGATTGGAATTAAATGAAATATAAAATAGAAAAATGGGGGGAAATTAATGAAAGAGTCAATTTTTTAAAAAAGGACAACAAAATTTACAAACTCTTAGGTAAATTAACTAAGAAAAAAGAAGACTCAAACAACTAAGAAATGAAAGAGGAGACGTTACAACTTAAGTCACAGAGTGGGGGGAGGACTATAAGACTACTATGAAATAACAAATCGGACAACCTACACAAAACTGGAACCTACAACCTAGAAACATACAACCTA